CCTCCCCTGACACCTCATACACACATGTCATTGTTGATGTATAAGTGTCCTGTAATTATTATGCTTTGTAAAGCGGCATCATTCAAATTTTCAACAATGGAAAGAAAAACAGTATCATATTTCCCAAAGAGGAGCAGTTCTGAAAGCAATATAAGCAAGGACAGCTTTGTCAAGATCAGTTAAGATTAAAATGTGCAAACAGAACCAAACAATAAAAGGTGGAAACCTACCTTACAGCCATAAGGGGATAACATCTGAAGGTCAGGATTACCTCGTAGAAGCACGTCATGAGCACTAGCCATTGTCCCCACTAAGCTGCAGAGCTGAAGAACCCTAAACATAGTGTTTTCATTTGCATCACAGGCCACATAAAAAAAAAAAGTGTGTGCATGTGGAAGAAAGTCATGCACAGGGAGTGCAAGGCCAAGTGATGGGTGCAGCTCTGGAGAGCAACTGCCCCTTGGAACAGACAACAATGAGCTATGATGGGCAAACAGGTTGACCTAGAAGACAGCAACTTTTTGTGTTCCTGTGCTGTTCATTCTTCAATATATTATTGACTACTGCCCTGCAGGTGTTTGCTTTATCCTTTGCTACTGTGAATAAAGGTGAGTCATTTGCCATGTACACTTTCCATGCTTGGCAGTGTAATCTTCTAAATAATGATGGTGTGCTGCGTCATGACGTTGCTATGCCAAGTGTAGTTCAGCTGGGCACTGAACCAAAGCAAAACGACTGGCAGCCTGAAGAATGATTCAATCCTTCATGACGTTGAGCAAGTTCTTAAGCCTCTTTTCTCTGCAATACTACTGTGTCTAGGGAACCATCGTTTTCTAATAATTAAGAAGACACTTCCTCTGCTCGCATGGGAGCAGATTAACCAAATGTTTCCCAGTTGCCTCGCTTTTACTCGTACCCAGGTAAATATCCTGTTGAGGCAGCGTCAGAAATCTGTGGAATAAAGCAACAATCCCTCTGACTCAACCTTAGCAACTGCAGCCAACATGGACTTTCCAAACATGTAAACACCTGCAGGAAGGCTCATCAAGTACAGCTGCTTTCCACAAAAATAATAACACTGCCACATAGGAGCAAAATATAGCTTCTGCTTTACAGAAACTAGGCAAGGGACTTTCAAGACTAAAGTTACGCTTCCAGAAAAGCAATGGGATTTACTCCCCACTCCTGCGCATGTCTGCTCAGAAATAAGTCCCACTGAATTCTGCGTCTCTTCCTCCCAGGGAAGTGCATATAGGACTGCAAAACTTCTAGACTTTTGGACACTTACTTGAGAGTAAGCGCCATTGAACCCAGTGAGAAATGTGCAGCATTGCTCCAATAGCCTGCAATCCTAAAGGTAAAGGTAAAGGGACCCTTGACCATTAGGTCCAGTCACGGATGACTCTGGGGTTACGGCGCTCATCTCGCTTTATTGGCCAAGGGAGCCGGCATACAGCTTCCAGGTCATGTGGCCAGCATGACTAAGCTGCTTCTGGCGAACCAGAGCAGCGCACGGAAACGGCGTTTACCTTCCCGCTGGAGCGGTACCTATTTATCTACTTGCACTTTGATGTGCTTTCGAACTGCTAGGTTGGCAGGAGCAGGGACTGAGCAACGGGAGCTCACTCCGTCGCGGGGATTCGAACTGCCGACCTTCTGATCTGCAAGTCCTAGGCTCTGTAGTTTAACCCACAGCGCCACCAGCGTCCCTAGCCTGCAATCCTAGATGCACTTGAATTAATAATAATAATAATTTTATTATTTGTTCCCCACCCATCTGACTGGGTTGCTCCAGCCACTCTGGGTGGCTTCCAACATACGTATATAAAAACATAATAAAATTCTACACATTTTAAAAAGCTTCCCTATACTGGAGAGATAAATTCAGTGAGATTTACTTCTGAGAAAACATTCTTAAGAATGCATTCTCATAAAGGAGATCAGCTTACATGGTTCGATAGCAGGAGGTGGAAATGCATTTTTAGGATATCTGCAGCACACTTTTGCGTATCTGTTTGAGATACACATAAGCACTGTGATCCAGTGACCTTGATGTGGACATAAAGGTATCCCACCTAAGGAAGCAAAAGTGCCTGCATTCAGTTTGATGAAGGGGGAGGTTCCATGTGAACAAAGGAATGCACTCACAGAAGTGGCACTTTCATTGAAATAAATGGGGGAGGCCCTCTGGACAAGAGCTCCATGTGTGTCTCAAATGCAACACGGACCTCATGGCTAACAACTTCCAAGGATCCATCTATAATTGCTTTTAAAGGTCAAATTGTTTTCTTGAGTACTGCACATAATGTTGGGCGAACCATGTTGGGGGGAAAAGATTTTGTAGAACTAGGGGAAGTGTTCAAAAGTGGGGAGGAAGCCATGTGAGCACAGGTACCATCTAGAGGGGTTTGGGGGAGCCTAGGACCCCCCAAAAAAGTTTTCAAGGAGGGAGCAGGGCCCCTCAAAATTCCAGAGTGGGAAGACAGTGAGCTTGCATATGGGGCAGGGGTAGACAATGGTTTTGGATCAGTGGGCACAGTTCCAATTTTGAGGGAGTGCTGTGAGTGTCAGTCACAAAATGACTGCCATGGGGACATGGCATAGCACAAAATGGCTGCTTTGGGGGGCATGGCATAAGACAAAAATTGAGTGATTGCAGTCATTGTGAAACTTTCCCCATAACTGTATTTCTGTACCAGAAAAGGCTTGACATGCTGCATATCTGCCTGTTATACAACTGTTAATGGCACAAGGACCCTGTTTTTCCCCCCATGCCAACCCTAAAATGAAGCCTAAGCTGTCATGCTGTACCTGGGAATAAGCCCCAGAAGCCCACAAAGGGGCTGACTTCTGAATAGACATGTATACTATTGTACTGTAAATCCAGTGACTTCTTAAGCTTCTGCACAGCAGCGGGCCCTTTGCAAAGTTTTCTCCTTTGCCTTTTGCACGGATGGGGTATTCATTAACATTCACCCGCCTATATTGTGTAGTAGTAATTGCAGAAAATAACTGCTAAGAACTAACCAATTTCAGATGAACTCACTGCAGGAAAGATGAATACTAGTTCCCAAGGTAAAAGGAAGGAAGGGATTCCAAGGACTAGAAAACAAGACAGAAGCAGGGAAAGTGGAAGGGAAAACAGTGGCTGTTTAAAACCACAAGGATTCCTGTTGCCTGCTGTCCAGACAACTCACTTAGCCATCACAGCTCTAACTTCACTCACTGACTAACAAAACTAAAAGGCTGGCTCATTTCATAACAATCAATTCTAAGAGTACTTGCACATTTTGCTTCATAACTTTCTTTCTAGGAAGGCTAGAGGCTTACATTTCTTTTCTTTTTTTAAAAAAAATGAAAGTTCATAGTCTGAGGGCCCTACACGGGGGTGCTAATCATAGGAACCAACTCCTAGGGGCTGAGATCCCTTCGTCACCCCTTAAAATATTTGATACACACACACACACCCAAGTTAATGGGTATTGCCATTCAAATGCTGTGTGCATGCCACGACTTGTGATCAGTTATGGGGGACAGGGCTTACTTGCCCTCCCAATATTTTATTCAAGTTGGCACCCCTAGTGCTAATGAAGGCCTTTGCAGGCAGTGTGTATAAGGTTACTTTTATATCAAGCATTATTGAATTCATCTCAATCAATGGGACTTGCCCAATAGAAATGCATGGCAAATTGTGCCCTTGATTTATAATTCTAAACACACTTACTGATGAGTAGTACCACTGAACGCAGATATCCCTAAGTAAAGATGTCTAGCATTGTTCTGTCAAGGGAAGGGTTAATTAGGAGTTATAAATAAGAAACTACTCTGTTTCCTTTACATATCTGAGGCTAAGACATGTTTAAGATGTTGCAGTAATTACATATATTTTGCACTATTGTCAGTTGTCAGATGTTTATGAGTCATGTTATTTCTTATCTGTTTTTTAATCCCAGGGGTCTTTGAATAATGCAATTTCAAAATTCCCATTTTTTCGGAAATCTCTGTAGTCAGCCTGAAAAAATGTATGGGGGAGGTAACTTCAGCAGAAAAGACAGCAGGAATATATTAGATTAGCCACTCGTCGTCCTTTGGGAGCACTTCAAAACTATTTTGGTCTATCTGTCTATCTTCTTTATTTAGCCAAATGGAATTAGTATCTACTTTCAGATTTTTAAAGGGCCTCCCTCCCTCCCTCCTTCCCCTCCGCCTCTCTCTCCATCTTTAGCAGAATTTTTTTTTAATGTAGAGATTTAAGAAAAAAATTTAAAAAAATTAAAATGGAGCACTAATACTGTAACTATAAAGGTCTCTACATTTTAATAATAAGAATGATGTAACTCTTAATTTACACACCAAGCATATCTTGTCTTGCATATATTAAAAAAAAAAAAGTCCAGTGAATTCCGCTGAGATAATGTCATTAACCACCAGTATAAATAGTCTGGGTTGTATGTTGTAATACGATAATGTGAAAGCCCAAAGGAAATCATTCCCAGGCTACATCAGAAAAGGTACTAAATAAGCAGCTGGGACAGACAATGACAGTGTGAATTAAGCAAGCAAAGCTTTAAAGTGTGTTGCTTAATATAGAACAGCTTTAAAGACGAGATTTTTTAAAAAAGAAAAAAAAAGAAAATGACTATTCATGTTTTACTGTCATATGAGTTGACCCAGGAGAATCCATGTGTATCAAAAGAGCAATAGACCCACAAACCTCATGGGTTGCTGTTCTAGGCGAATGCAAGTCATGCAATTGTGCTGTTAACAAAGTTTTATGGTCCAGAATTGTGATTTTTCTGCAGAGGTCAGGAATTCATATACTTTTGAATTTGCGCAGCAATGGTGTGGTGCTGTGATATGCTATGCTATGCTATGCTATTATTTTTTGCAGTCTTAGCTACACATGCCCCCATATGTTACTAACTTCCATAGAATTAAAGAGTTGGAAGGGACCCTGAGAATTATCCTGTCCAACCCCCTGCAATGCAGGAATATGCAGCTGTCCCTTACAGGAATCCAACCTGCAACCCTGGCATTATCAGCACCACACTCTAACCAACTGAGGCTGGATCTAGACACATCAAAGAAGTGCTTCAGTTAAATGCGTCGTAAACTTTGTATGAGAAATCGGGTTGGCAAAAACAGAACCCCACAGCACCATCTGGTGTCACAGTGTTATAATGCATATACAACACATATAAAGCGCTTTTTCTTTGCCTATGTAGCTAAGTCCTGGAGCTATCCCTCTAGAACTTAGATGTAAATGGTTTCAAATAGCACTCCTGCAAATCTTGGGGCTCCCCCAATCCTGTTGATACCTCTCTCTTTTGCGTGTCTGTTGTCATCTTGGCTACAGAATGACTTGCTCTTGGATAATGAGTTTGCTATCAGTATACAGCATGACTAGTGGAAGTGCATTTTATTTTCTACTTTTATTTGTATTCTAAAATGGGTATTAAAAGAGAACAACTCTCAGCACCCTTAGTAAACTACAGTGGTACCTCAGGTTACATACGCTTCAGGTTACACATGCTTCAGGTTACACACTCTGCTAACCCAGAAATAGTGCTTCAGGTTAAGAACTTTGCTTCAGGATAAGAACAGAAATCGAGCTCCGGTGGCGCGGCGGCAGCAGGAGGCCCCATTAGCTAAAGTGGTACTTCAGGTTAAGAACAGTTTCAGGTTAAGAACAGACCTCCAGAACGAATTAAGTACGTAACCAGAGGTACCACTGTACATCTTACCAGGATTTGGGAAACCCAGGGCTGTTGAAAGTGGTGTGATACTGTATGATGCAAGTGGGAGCCATAGACATTTTACCCAAACCTTAAAAAAAAAAAAAGGTGATGTTTCCCAGGAATTGAAAAGAGGAAGTTAAACCTCAGCATGCTAAATAATTACATTGCCACGAGGTTGTTGGAAACACGAGGAAGCTTTTGCTACACCCAACAAACCCCATACGTCATGTTTACCTTTCAAAAACCCTTCCAACTTTTAAAATTATTATTTCCTATCCTTGACATACCTGCATCAGGTCTTGGGTTGGGCAGAAGCGTAATTACTTGAACACAGGTGTACCGTGATGTTGCAAACTTTTGTGCTGAAATTTCTCAGCTTCCCAAGTTATTTTCTATGCCATAAGAATGTTTCAAGGCTGGGAGTGTTTTAAGCGATCCAAAACACAGTAGTGAGCTGAAAGAGATTGGTTTGTTCTTGACAACAGCAGTAAAACCAGGCAGTTTTTGTTTCCAACTCCACATTAAAAAGTGATGAGGGAAGATTCTTTCAAAGGTTTCTTGTGGAATACTGAACTGAATGTGGAACCAGCTCTTGCTCACCGTTCTGCTTTTGAGGATTTCTTTTCTTTTAAAAAAAGAGAAAGGTATGAAACTCTCAGATGAAAAGAAAAAGACACCAGCAACTGGGATTAAACAGAACATTTTCATTAAGGGAACATATCATTCAAATTATCAGCAAAGACCAGTGTTGGTGGATGTCATGGGCTGTCTGGATGCAGAAGAGTGGCAGGAGGCACCAACAGAGGAACCCCCGGGGGAAGAAGGATCAGAGCCTGGGGACTGGTGGTGGGACAACAATGAGTGGCCAGAGGAAGAACAAGGAGCAGAATGGGAGGAGGAGGTGTTGGAAGCAGAAGAGGTAACAGAGTTTAATGAGCAGGAAGAGGCTGTGGCAGAGAGCAGTTCAGACTCCGAGGCTGAAGCAGAGGCTGGAGAGGACGTTGGCCAAGAGGCAGAGTTGAGACAGGCTGCTGAAGAATCCAGGAAGCCTCTCCCTCCTGCTGCGACCTGCTCCTCTCCCCCCATGTCTCTTAGAACATGCAGATAAATGAAAAGCACAGAGATTGGTTGTGCACAGACACGGTTTGTGACTGTTAAACCTTGGAGAGGAGGAGCCTTAGAGAGTGGTGGGAAGGCGGACAACTTCAGTCCTCACAACTGCCTCATTGGGGCAAAACCTACAGGGAAGAATTGCTGGGACCACTAGGCCTGCACTGTTTTGGTTTCTTTGAACTGACACTGTGTTTGTATTGCTGACCTACACTTGACTCAGGATTCTGACGATGGGTATAAATTTTTAGCCTCTCCCCACAGGATCTTCAGAGAGATAGCCAAATGCAAAATGACCCCATCCCTGGTCCCACTATTCCCCTTGGAGAGAGAAGCAATCTTCTCTGCTTAGACTATTGTTTTAGAATGCCAATTCATCCTACAATAATTTCACCTTTCATTCGCTTTCTTTGGCAGGGATTTGTATATTATTTTGTCACTGCTTGTACATACTGCCAGCGATTCACAATGACATCATGGTGAACACTGGGGATGAACCATAGCTTGGTGGTAAAGCACATTTTTTTCATGCAGAAGGTCCGTGGTTTAATCTCTGGCATCCCCAGGTAGGACTTTCACAGCATACAGAAGCAATCTACATATACATTTGATATTTTTTTTTAAAAAAAATTAAGCCAGTCCCCTCCATACTAAAGGAGAAGAATTATTATTTTGCTTGAAAACTAGGCTTCCCCCCCAAAAATCCCCATGCCCTTTAAAATTGGGAAGAAAAAGCCTGATGGAAACATTGTGTCAAGCACAAAGACTTCAGACCAAGACAAAAACAAAAAAGCCACAGAAGACAATAGTCACTTCTTTTCACTCTGAAAGAGGAGAATTAATCAAAATGTTTCTTAAAGCCAGATAAAATCTTACTTTAAAATGACGTGCTGAGTTTTAAAAATACTTAGAAAGCATTTTATCCTGATTTGGCTGCGAACGCCTGAACAGAAAACTAACAGAAAGTCCACTTGCCAGTAAGGTTTATCTCCTGCTTCAAATTAGTATTCATGTCATTTTACAAAGCACACATTCGTATCTCCATTTTTCAGCTGTACTGCATGACAATAACAAACACACAGAGAGAAATGTTAAACAAATGCACTCCTACAGCAGCAGACACCCTAACCAAACATTGCAGCCATTGGCAACTATAGAAAAATCTCTCTCGCTTGCTTGCACACACACACACACACACACACACACACACACACACACACTATAGGAAAATTCAGGCAATGACCTGTTGATTTTATTGTTCAAACCAGGGATGGGGAACTTGTGGTCCTCCAAATGTTGTTGAACCACAACTCCCATCACTCCTGACCATAGGCCATGTTGGCTGGAGCTGATGGGAATTGGAGTCCAACAACATCTAGAGGATTGTATCTTGGAGTCCCTGTTGCCCATTCCCGACTTAAAAGACTACCGCCATACTGCAGTCAGACTGTGCTTGAATGGTTGCTTTCCATCTGTCGCAGTTGTATCAGTTGTGTTAAATGACCAGTGTGCCTAACCCAAAGAGAATTCCTGTCAAGTGTGGACTAGCCCTTCTGCTAACCAGCTGATCCTTCGGCAGGCAAGAAGGCTGAAGGTCAGCCTTCGAGATTTCATCTGAGGGGTGGCTACATGCTGACCTTTATTAAAAGAGGCCCCCGCAGCAGCAGGGCTGAATCTGGCAGCAGCTGTGGATCACAGGTCAAGTCATTGTGGAGGGATAGGAAGAACAGAAAATGAAAAGCCAGGCTCTGAGAATCACAATTTTATTCTAGCTGAAGGAGTGGTGTGCATGTTATAAACCAGCTGGCACGAAAACTGTTACCTTCAACTGTGTGCACTCTCGTACCTGAAGGCCAGTTCACTTTTCCCACGAAGAATTTCACTGTCATCTCACCCCACTCCATTCCTTACAAAAAGCAAATGTGGTGCCCTAAGGAACCACGGCTGCTTTTCATGAACACAGGACAGGACAAAAGCAGCAGTACAGCAGGCAGGTTAATGGAACAGGAGTTGCTGTTTTTTCAATTGCGGTTTAAGAAAGGTATCATGTGGAGATTCTGTGAGGATTGTTTTCCCTGTACATCAGGTGTGGGGAACCTTCTTCAGCCTGAGGACCACATTCACTCCTAGGCAACCTTCCAGGAGCCATATGACAAAAGTGGGCAGAACACAATGTAAATGTGACTTTTTGATTTCCGCATACACTCACACAGCCCTCTATCATATATCCAAGACAAGCAGGAGGCATTATCAAGGACACGTTCCAACTAGGCCAAAACAATCTGGATGCAAAGGAGAGCCGGTGTGTCCTGAGGAGAGTTTCTAGGTCCTAACAGAAGCCAGTGGGTGCATTCAGCCCCTGGGGCTGAGGTTCTCCACTCCTGCTCTACATTAACTAATCCAGACAAAAAGGTTAATAAGGCATAAATACGACATTATGAGTTCTGGATCCCACCATCATCAATATCCAGGAAATGTACTTATTCAGCACTGCCTATGGGGCAGTCACAGCAGAGAACAGCACCTAGTGCAATACTAGATAATTTATAAATTGATGGTAATGCAGTGATTACATTCAGCCAATAGAAAAAGGGAAAACATCCTAATACTTTAAGGGTGGAATTTTCCATGGGTAATCACTGTCATGACCCGTACCTTTAAGGAAACTGCTAGCAGAACTTGCATAACTGTGTCAATAGACCAACATCCAGGGAGTTTTAAATAATGTCTTTTGAATAGTTACCTTAGTTACTATATTAAGTTTCAAGGGCAGCAAATTTAGAAGAAGACAGAATACTCAGGCATTTAACATTCACTGTGAAAATGCAGGTTTGAAAATCAGCAGAAGATTGAACAGACTATTTCTCCACTGTAAGTAAAGAGATTTTTGTCACTCTTATAATTCAGCACCAGTCCCTTTTGAAATGTTTATTTTCAGAGATTAATGTTTTCCTCCCCTTTAGTGTCTGCTTTCTGCTTGTCACTCAAGATAATATTATTGAACAAATGTGCCAGTACTTCCTACAGTATTATGGTTTGGTAAAATTTCACATCCCAGCAGAGCATTTGAGGACAAGAAAGTCTCTTCTATTTTCATTTGAAATACAGCCACGATACAAAACATTGCTCTCTGAATTAGTCTTTTGTTTTACCACTATTATTATTAGGAGGTGCTGAAAGCAAACAACACTGAATGAATAGGAAGGCTTATGATTTCTAGTCTAGAGGG